CAGGTTTAGGGGTTTGTTTTAGGGTTAGGGTTAGGGTTAGGGTTAGGTTTAGGGTTAGGTTTAGGGTACTGAGTGCTTGGGAATGCGCGGATTTGCCCTCCGCGATTATGTCATCGCGGCAGGGGCACGTTTTTCCTTAGCGCTTCGAACGGCGCGAATTAGTCTTCGCGCCTATGTCTCCGCGGATAAGGGCTTCGCGGATTTGTGGTGGAACCGAAAAAACCAGACCCTGCACTTGCAAAAAAAAATAAAAAATTGCTAGGAAGAAAGCATTGTAAGAAATCATCCCTGAAAGGCAGAGATGGGAGTTTAAGTACTTTAACTTGAGGGAAGTGTTACCAGCGAATAGAAAATGTAGAAACGCAGAAACGAATCTTCTCTCATGGGCCAGTTTCAAGCCTTGCAGAGTTTGCTGTAAATTAGGGAGGAATAATCTGTAAATCAAATTCAAAACTTGAAGGATTCCGGGATTATCAAGAACCTAGAAAAACTGCCTCGTATTATTTAGTCGACTGATTTTTATATTGTTTCCCCTTTAGTCATATCTTAAATCAGGCATTTCTGTGGTTTTTAAAAATGTAATAATAAAATAATGAAAACCATGAAGAACAGGAGAAAATAAAACCACTTGTGCATAATGTTCATTTAGTGAAGGCTTGAATGAAGAGATAAGTTTTCAATAAGGCGCCAGGGTTCCAAGTAACACCCCCAATGAAAGAAGACTCCGAGGCCTGAGTTTCCTCAAAGTCCCATTTTATTAGAGATGTCCTATTGGCACATCTGGGAAAACCTGAATCTGAAAGCTTCCAGCTTTTCCCCACCCAAATGAAAGTTCAAGTCTCTGCCCAGCACCCACATGTCCATCACAGGGTCCAATCAGGCACTGTCCAAAACTGGAGATATCTCCCAGTCAGACCACTCCAGGTGTAGGGCAAGATGTCCTTGACTCTCGGAGAAAGGAATGTTATTTTGACTGTATCTCCCATACTCTATATAATCCTCTCTCCAAGTTTCCCACAGCATTAAATGTGGCAGGCCTGAAGGCCCAATGCAAAAGATGGCTTCCAGGCCTGACAGAAGGATCTAATGAACAAAATATAGATACCCGTATGTTTCAGGGGGAAGATCATTTTAGAAAGCTGGGTTCACCATAGGCTCAACTATGAGTAACAGAAAATGGCATTCTGCCAAACCCAGCAGCTTCAAGACGACTTGTTTGATAGGATCTACATCCTGGTCCCTGTTTGTTTACACCTTTGTTTGCCAGAATCAAAATTTTAATCCTAACTTGATAAACTAACTGGTAGTCAATACAGTTGCTTCAACAGAGGTAAAGGTTCTCCTCGCACATATGTGCTAGTCGTTCCCAACTCTAGGGGGCAGTGGTCATCTCCGGTTCAGAGCTGAAAAGCCAGCGCTGTCCGAAGACGTCTCTGTGGTCATGTGGCCGGCATGACTCAACACCGAAGGCGCACGAAACGCTGTTTCCTTCCCATCAAAGGTGGTTCCTATTTTTCTACTTGCATTTTTATATGCTTTCGAACTGCTAGGTTGGCAGAAGCTGGGANATTCTATTCTATTCTATTCTATTCTATTCGTATTCCTATTCTATTCCTATTCTATTCACAGTGGCAAAAAAGTCATACAATGGGGCACATCTCACTTAACAAATGTTTCGCTTAGCAACGTAAGTCCATAAGTCCGTCTTACTAATTTAACTGCAGTGATTCACTTAACCACTGTGGCAAGAAAATGGGACAAAACTCACTTAACATCTGCCTCGCTTAGCAACTGAAATTTTGGGCTCAACTGGGGGTCTTAAGACGAGGACTTGCTGTAGCTCCAACTTTAATTTGGCTCCTTCTCTTTCCATAATCCTTAAGGAG